TGGGGCACATATTTCACTACGTGGGTTGATTAGTTAATTTAAAGTTATTTAAATGAAAAAGTGAATTAATTAGATGTGAATGTGAATTCATTCAAAGATGGACTGAAACACTTAGGTTGGAACTTGGATTCCGTAACTCCAAGTCAATTTCCTCATCTTTAATGCTCTGGTGCGTATACTGGGTTCCCTTATAACGAGTAGGAGAGACGTTATATTCGGTGGCATCACTCATTTTCTTTATTGTCTTTTGGAATACTATTTACTAGTGATTTTTAATGTTTAATAGAAATATGACAGTTGGAGTAAAAACCTAGTTAAATGAAGGGTGCAGTAGTTCCAATTTGAACTCTAAATGTGAATTTAGATTTCCAATAGCTCACTTTTATATTTTGATGTTTCAAAGCTTTGTAAGCTACATAAGTGACTTGCACCATCTATGGCTGTTTAAATTGTGGAAATTGAGAATTTCCAGAAACAATTTTACAGTACAGATAAAAACAGGCAGTTGAAAAATATATTTAAAATGAAGTCCAGAAGTTAAAATAACAGATGTGGAAAGTAAAAATAAAAAGTTAAAATATATATATATATATATATAAATTTGAAACACGAGGGTACTTTAAAAAGTTCATGGAAAAATAGGTTTAACAGATAATACAAATTTTTTATAAACTTTGTGGAGATCCTTCATATTTTTGATCAAAAAAGCTCTCGAAGTAGACTTCATTTTCATCAAAGAGAACCTTGTTTCATTTTTAAATGAAGGTTGAGGATTTGTCGATGTTTCTTCTTGAGCGATGAAGTCACATAGCTGTAGCCAGCAAAGTTGTGTTGTCTATTGGAAGATAACTTTCGTGGGTCCCGGCAAATGTAGGGATAATAGAACAGTGGGAAACTCGTTATTTAAAAAGATAACTTTCTATAATCATTTGCACAGTATCAAAAAAAGCAGTGAGATTTAAAGAAACAAATATTATGAGGTGACATAAATACATGAGGATATACATAAAAAATAAAGCCAAAGTACGCTTTTGGTGGTCCTCCTTTTTGCAGAAATGATCTCATGGTTGCAATTCAATATTGCTCTTCCAATATGGTATGCCTGGGTGTTAGCTTGTAAATACCACTAGCGAGATCAGTCAGTAAAGAGCAGTTGCAAGTTTAGGAAGGGCTCTTCTGTTCTCTTTTCTGTCAGTGAAAAGGCTTCTGAGATTCTGTTTATCCCTGATTCTTAGGTCAAGAGTACAATTTTCTGAAGATGGAGCCTGGAGAAGTAAACTCACTCGGAGAAAGATACGACTTTGACAGTATCATGCACTATGCCAGGAACACCTTCTCAAGGTTGGAGTCTCAGGTTATACCTTTTGACTTTTAATTCCTTTCCTCCATGTGCCTCCTCACAAAGCTATGCTTGACATTAGAACTAGAATTACTTTCAAATATTGCTCCCTCATGGCAGAAATAAAGTACAAACATAGTGATTAACATTTATAGCCAACAGCAGGCATTTAAAAGAAATTTTAAAATATTTTAAAATTTTCTATCAAATATATACATTTAAAGTGATAATTGAGTATAAATTATTGAAGCTATCTTATATTTCTAAATTATAAAAAAAAGTTCAGTTGAAACAATTACTAAACCAATCAGCGTGTTAAATTGTCAAAGCATTATTTAATGAAAATTAGGCATTTATAAGTTAAATAGGTTACATGGTTGCTGAGTTGGAATTTCATACACTCTATATGATGTGTTTTATATTGTATATTTTCTGTTACTCAAGTATCACTTATGCACAGAAATCATATTACTAAATAAATTCCCAAGGAACAAGTTAGGAAGATAATTTACTTCATAAAATTTTAAATTATAGTTCACCATTCATTAATCTTAAAATTATTTCATTAATGACTGCATGCTCCTTTTAAAGAGTGCAATATATTTGTGTTTTTATCTTCTTCATTCTTAAGATGATGCCATCAAATAAATAGTCCCCAGCTAAGGACTTTAGAACTGTTAATACCAATGAACTCATCTTTTCCCATTTATGACCATTTCACACTCATAGGACTATTCCAACTCATTCTTTTTGCTCACTTATGTTCGCTTAACAGCTTATTACCATCTATTTCTAAACGTGAGGTCAGGAAGAAGAGAAAACATTCAAATTTATCCCCTGCTTTTTAAAAAAATGTTTAGAAGGATGTGTAAATGAGCCTTCAATACTTGGACGCTCTTTTAAATTATACTTTTAAAAACTTATTTTCTCTTTTACGGTATAATATTTGTTTAAGTATAATAACTATCCAAATACCTATTGTTTTCAGAATATGAATTTAAGTTTGGCAGAAATACGGCCAGATTTCTGAATCTGTAGACCCCTTAGGCAGTATTAACATCTTAACAGTACTAAGTCTTCAGATCCATGAACACAGGCTCCTTCCATTCATTTGTCTCTTCTTCAATTTTTTTCAGAAATGTTTTTTAGTTTTCACTGTAGAAGTCTTTTACCTCCTAGGTTACATTTATTCCTAAGTATTCCATTCTTCTTGATCCTATTGTAGATGGCATCAATTTTATTTTTGGATTGCTTGTTGTTAGTGCTTAGAAACACAACTAATTTTTTGTGTTGATTTCATATCCTGCAATTTTACTGGATTCATTTATTAATTCTAACAATTGTTTTGTGGCATCTTTAGCATATTCTATGTGTAAGATCATGTCAATTGTGAGCAGTGATAATAACTTTCTTTCTTTTCCAATTTGGATGACCTTTTTTATTATTATTCATACATCTCCACATTTCTTTTAAAACATACATTGCTCTTATGTAACATAATGCAACTATTTCATATATAACAAAAAACTACATTCACTGCCTCTCTAAAAAGTACAAAAATACAAAAGTACAGTTACTCTACGTACCTCTAGATCACTGTCTTTGCATTATGCCTGTCATTCTGTCATTCTCAGATGTAGCTTCTCACAGTCTAGCAATCTGTAACTAAGTGGTATATTTGTTTAAGCACCTACAACAAACATAATAGACTGTGGTAAAGGAAATAAAATACAAATTCAGTAAGATTCTCATTTGAAAATTGGAAGAAGGTAAAAATTAATAAACAGTGGTTCTGTGGTTCTGTTCATGAGGGATTGTGAGTTCTTCCTGCCCTGGAAGGATACTGAGCTCCTTTTTTGGACAATCTGCATTATGGATTATTTTACTTGACAATTATCTTCTTGTGGCCATATTTGTTATTGACATTGGGAAGGATGAATCTTTTTTTTTTTTGGTGGCTGCCATATATTAACAACCCACTTTCTATTGGTGAAGTGTTGGTTGTGGAGGGAATGCTTAGGGATTGAGTATTTCCAAGCATTCGCTTGCTAGGTTTGGGGTATCCCTAGAAGGAAAATGTCCTTAGGTAGGTATCCAATTAATTTGCCTTTGTTTACTGCTATAGACTAGTAACTAGAACCTGAGATCACATTGAATCATAGACTTAAGAGAAATCTGGGTCTGTGGTTTCTGCTTCTCAGCAGTAGGCCTCAATGTTCCAACTATATTTCAACTCTTAGCTTGAAGACTTATGGTGGTACAGACCAATTGTTTGGGATTGGGAATTGTAACTAATGTTGAATCATAGACTTAAGAGAAATCTGGGTCTGTGGTTTCTGCTTCTCAGCAGTAGGCCTCAATGTTCCAACTATATTTCAGCTCTTAGCTTGAAGACTTATGGTGGTACAGACCAATTGTTTGGGATTGGGAATTGTAACTAAACCTCCCATTATCTCTAGGTGGCATGACAGGGAATGTGCTATTCACTGTCTTTTAATTAAGTTATTTAAACTGGAGTTTCTATCATTTTCACCTAAAACATACTAACTAAAACCTACAAATAGGGAATAGGACTCAAGGTTCTTTTATTTATTTATTTAATAATAATATTATTATTATTATTTTTTTTTTTTGTCTTTTTCGTGACTGGTAAGGGAATCGCAACCCTTGGTGTGGTGTCGCCCGTACCGCGCCCAGCCAGTGAGTGCACCAGCCATTTCTATATAGGATCCGAACCCGCGGCAGGAGCATCGCTGCACTCCCAGCGCTGCACTCTCCCGAGTGCGCCATGGGGCCGGCCCTATTTAATATTATTTTTTATTGGTTATGAATATTCATGGCATACAAAGCAAATTGTCACCACTTGTGCCTAAGATGTGATGGCCAGATCCATACAGGCAGCATGCCAATTGCCACAAATTGTGATTATACCCCGTGTCCCCCACCCACTTACACCCCCAATTATCACTGACCTCCCTTCCCATCTCCTTTTCCCCACTCCACTTTGTATCCCTAGGAATGTTCTCTCCCTCTGCAAGTCCAACACACCACTGTGGTCTTTCTTTCCTTCCTTCTTTCTCTCTTAGCTCCCACTTATGAGTGAGGACATGCAGTATTTATCCCTCTGTGCTTTGTTTATTTCACTCAACATAAGTTTCACCAGGCTTATCCATGTTGTTGCAAATGGGAAAATTTTATCCTTTTCTATGGCAGAGTAGTATTCCTTGGTGTATGTATACCACATTTTCCTTATCCAGTCATCTTGGCTGTTGTGAACAGAGCTGCGATGAACATGGGAGTGCAGGTATCGCTTTAACATGAGGATTTCCATTCATCTTTGTATATACCCAGAGATGGGATTGCTGGATTGCATGGAAGATCTATTTGTAGTTGTTCGAGAAACTTCCATACTGTTTTCCATAGTGGTTGTACGAATTTACAGTCTCACCAACAGTGTAGGAATATTTCCTTCTCTTCACATCCTCCTAGCATTTGTTATTCTCAGTCTTTTTGATTATAGCCATTCTCACTGGAGTGAGATGATATCTTGATGTGGTTGAGCATTTTTTTTTCACGTACTTGTTGGCCATTTGTGTGTCTTCCTGTGAAAAATGTCTATTCAGTTCCTTTGCCCATTTTTTAATTAGGTAATTTTTTTTTTCTGTGTAGTTGCTTGAGTTCCTTGTATATTATGGATATTAATCCTTTGTCAGATGCGTAGATAGCAACAGTTTTCTCCCACTCTGTAAGAATTACTAAGGGAAAATATAGGTGAAACACTTCAGGAAGTAGATCTGGGCACAGACTTTATGAACATGAGCCTGAAAGCACAAGCAACAAAAGAAAACATAAACAAATGGGAGTACATCAAACTGAAAGGCTTCCGCACAGCAAAGGAAGCAATCAACAGAATGGAGGACTTTCATTTCTTTTTCTTTTTTTTTTTTTTTCCTTTTTGTCTTTTTTCGTGACCGGCAACGGATCACAACCCTCAGTGTCGCGCCCGTACCGGACCGGGACCGGCAACGGGATCGCAACCCTCGGTGTTGTGCCCGCACCTCGCTCAGCCAGTGAGCGGGAACCGGTCTGTATGTGGGATCCGAACCCTCGGCGGGAGCGCTGCCACGCTCCCAAGCGGTGCACTGTAGCAGTGCGCCACCGGGCCGGCCCCTTCATTTCTTTTTCTTGCACAACTGCTTTGGCTAGGAATTCTAGCATTATGTTGAATAGAAGTGACCAGAGTTAGCATCCTTGCTTTGCTTCTGTTCTTAGAGGAAAGCTTTCAGTTTTTTACCATTGAGTATGAGATCAGCTCTGGTTTTTTCATATGTGATGTTTATTATATCGAGGTAGTTTCCTTCTACTTTGTAGATTGTTGAGTGTTTATTTTGAAAGAGTATTGGATCTTGTCAAAGTCTTTTCTGTGCATCAATTGAGATGATTATCCTTGGGTTTTGTCCTTCATTCTGTTAATGTGGGTATTTGAAGTTTTGTATATTCTTCTAGTCTGAACCTACAGAGTCTATAAAAGTTCTGGTTGTTTTTATGCACATAGCTCATCAGTGTATTTAGGAACTCACTTGTGGGTTGACTAGGGTTGGATCCATGGGGCCATTATATGCATGGACATTTTGTAAAGTAGATGCTTTTGAACTGAGGACTGCCCATTTTTCATTAAAAAACAAGCAAAAATTTACAAAGTGTGTTAAAAAGCATAACTAATTTGCTCTTTTAATGCTGTTAAAATAACTAAAGAGTAGAAATTAGTACATGAACCCTAATGTGGTCTGTCTATGGCCTATTGTTAGTGTCTCACTGAAGAGGTCCAGTAAGAGCCTGCATTGCTTAATGATCTGGATGTGGAGGAAGAAGATTGTTAACTTCCTGACCACAAAGAAAGGCCAAAAAAATGAGTGGCTGACCCAGGAGGTTGTCTCAGTACACAGCATAAGCCAAAATTCATTATTTTATTGTCTGAAATTAAATATATCTACCCCAAGATCTTACTCATGTTTTTAACTGAAAATCTTTTGAATGTGAGAAAAAAAATGAAACTTTTCAAATATTACAAATTTGTTTTTAGATGTAAAAATAAAAAGTAGGGACTACTTGTTGGGAAAATAGAATAATCAGCCCCGCTCACCTTAGGTCCACTTGGGGGTGGTGCAGCACATTCTTTGTAAGCAAGTTGTGTGTGGTTGGAGTTAGTGCACATGGGTGGAGCTTCCACCTTGGTTGGCATTTACTGCCTCAGTCATCCATCCCACATGGCCATGCTCTCGAATCTATGGCTCCAAGGACCGTTTTTGCTGGTTACCTAGCTCATAGACCTTGTGACCCAGCCTGGAGTGTGAGGGGTCTGGGGACCCAGCCTGGCATGTGAAGGGTTTGTGACCCAGTGTGTGAATGAATTTGAGGGGTCTGTGAGCTTCAGACCCAGCCCTAGCTCTGCAGTTGGCCCAGTTGGCAGGTTTACAGGCAAGTACAAGAGCTCGACAATTGGCATAATTGGCAGGATTACGTGCAGGTAAAAGAGCAGGACTGAAGTACTGTAGAAATGGTAACACCTCGTTAATTTGGATTTACCTCTTTTACATATCTGTTAATTTATGCAGCATCATGGAGGAATGGCTTTTGTCAATGCTACCTTATAAGTCAGTTTTCCCTTTCGATTACATTGGCCTACCTTGACTGCATTTAATTAAATATGTGCAGGCTCCCACTTTTGATGGTCCATACACATAAATCATTAGTCTCCATTTGCCTATCCTCATCTCAGGCAGTATATGTATGGAGTTCTGTAGATGCTTAGATCTGGTTTTAAAGAGTTCCAGTCTCCCTATTTGAGTTGTCCAGGTTGTATCTAAAGATCACCACTTTACCTCTTACCTAGAAATTATGAAATTTAGTCATAAATTTCAGTACTCATAGATCATGTTACACCTCTGTTTACCATTTGTATTAGTCCATTTTTGTTGCTTATAACAAAGTACACTGAACTGGGTGATATATAAAGAAAATGACATTTATTCCTTATAGTTTCTGAGGCTGGGAAGTCTAAAGTCCATCTGGTGGTGGCAACAGTGACCCGGGGGTCTCACATTGCAAGATGGTAGAAGCAGAGAGAGCAGAGATAAGAGAGAAAGACTCTCCTCTTCTTTCAAAGCCCTCAGGACCACACCCCTGACCATCATTATTAATCCACCCCCTACTGCATGGTCCTATAATCCAATCACCTCTTAAAGGCTCCATCGTTCAATGACCATAATAGGGTTTCCCACCCTGTTAACAGTCACAGTGGGGACTAAGTTTCTAACACATAAAACTTGGAAGACAATTCAAGCCTCAGTGAGTTTTGGGGGACATAATTCAATCCATCTTACACCATCTTACTGTAGATGAGAAATTATACTCAGGTAAAAGGGAAATCTCAGGCTGGTGCTCAAACAATTTAGGTGTCCTTTCATTTCTAAGCTGTTGTATTTCTTGTTCTTTCTCTCTGAGAACTCTACCCCCAGTTACCCTTATTGCTCTGACTTTCACTTCCTTCAGGTTTGGATAAATGTCAGCTTCCAAGTGAGGTTTTTCTTTGATCACTTTACTTGAAAGCTACCTATCACTGCACAATCAATATCCATCTTCTCACCTTTATTTTTCCCTATAGTACCTATGACTTCCCTGTTATTAATCTTTCATTTAATGCCTTTGTCCTCACATTAGAATGTAAGAAACAGAAAGTAATAAATTTCTGCTTGTTTTATTTAGTGCTGTAACTTCAGACCTAGAAGACAGCCTAGAAAATATTTCCTAATGGAAGGAATAGATAGAGGTGAAAATGTTGTTCTTTTAACCTGCAGTTTAAATGCCATATATTCATTGATAAATTTTGGAAAGAATGTCCCATCATTTATGTCAACTTAAAAGATATTTTACAGTTTTATTTCCTAATTTAAAAATATTTTTATTCAGCACTGCTTTTTCTTTTTTTTTAAATCCACATACGCATACTCCATACTTCTCAACTCCTAAGAATAGTCTCCCAGTGCATTTAACTTTTAAGCTCAGTACTTCCTACTTCCTTTGAACTATAAATGTTTGATAAACATTGCAAAATTAGAATGTATTTTTAGTGCACTATATTCAGAATTTTAATTCATGCATTATTAGAAAAAAATAGCAAGTGTCTTACCACAACCCTTGAGTTCAAAATGGCTCAGTTTCTGTAACTTGTTCTTATTAGGGCATTGCTTATGTTTTGTGCTTATTAATTTTACCAAGAAAAATTGAAAAAGTCACATATATAAACATTTTTGCTTTAAACTGTTCTGTCTAAATTTTGTCACTCTCTGTTTTTTCTTGTTCTTTTAACATATGCTGATTTTTTGGACTTAAGAATACTTAGGTTACATTTGTAGTTTTAAAAAATTATATGTATTTCATTTGACTTTTACAATTTTAGTGAAGTCAAAATTATTTATTGTAGGTTACTAGTAAGAAAACAGGCCTCTATGAGGAAGAATCTAAGGGATTCTTAGATCTGCTTGCTAGACCAAAACAAAAACCATGGTGCACTTTGGGGAGGACTATAAAGTATTAAATATTTTTTAAAACATATACATTTCTAAGAAAGAAGTGATCCATGTGATTTACTTTATGCTAGGCACACATATTTAACATGCACGCTTTTTCTCTACACTAGATGTTTTGAAAGCCTGACACACTGCTTCATGTGTACACTGGTGTATTTCCCTTTTGATTGACTTCAGTTTGAGCAAAATAACCTCATATTTGTAAGGAATATATGAGTTTTAGTTTGGTGACTTAGGTGTGGTTTGCATTTGTTTTGTTTTTTCAGGGGGATGTTTCTGGATACCATTCTCCCCTCCCGTGATGATAATGGCATACGTCCAGCAATCGGTCAGCGAACCCGTTTAAGCAAAGGAGATATCGCACAGGCCAGAAAGCTGTATAGATGTCCAGGTATTGCATCATACAAACTGAAGCGTGATTGTGCTTGAGTATGTTCTTCCAGATGAATAAGCGATGATTTACTCAACTGCTTAATTTTCTCTCTCCCTGCTGGCAAGTGAGGTATACAGTTCAAAGTCAGTAACCGTGAAATGAAGTAGGAGAGAAATCTGCAACACCCATTGCTATAAGTAAGAACAAGTTGCTAGAAATCAAATTTCAAGCACAAGGATTGTATGCTTTATTTCTGTTAGTTTAATGAGAACAGCAAAATAGAGTGGTTGTTTGATAATTATTAATTAATTAATTGCATGATTTTTATAGTCAAATGCTGAGTTTCCTTGCTGATATAAGAAGAGTATCCTTTACTTGAACTTCAGAAATGGGTCCTGAATGATCTTTTCTTGCAAGTAACATCATTAATGGTATGCAAATTACAAGTTTGTCAGTAGGAATTTGTAACTTTGTTGCAAAAAAGGGGTTCTAACCATGTTGCTAGTGGGCTACTGTATGTTTTGCTACTGAATAAAGTTGTGAACAAAAGATTAATGAAACATCCTAATAGGAATGTTCTAAGGGAACACTAGTGCCTTAATGGTCCAAAAAAGAGAAAAGATTCCGCCTTCCAAACTGGAAATGTTGCAGACTTTATGTACCTCCTGTATACTCACAATCTTTGAAATATCCTTTATCAAAGAAACATATTTAACTTTGTTTAAGACAGCTTTTCCAAATTATTTGTCCAATTTTACTCAATAGTTACTTGTAGAATTCACTTTTGGAAATATTGTCTTTAAATACTAAGGTTGAAGATGGTAAAATAACTATAAAACTTTTAATTGCAGAAAATTTTTTCAATTTTGGCAGAAAATTAGGGATATGATGGGTATAATAATTAATGTTTCGCTTCCATTTGGTATCAATCTGGGAAACTTTCCCTTTAGGGCACAGAAGAGGGCTAATTTATTCATGAAAATTTAGTACTTGCTCATTGATATATGGTACAGAACCCTTTTGTTGAACGGATAAAGAAGCAAACAAGAAAAAAATGAGTTGGTAAATAGCTAGGAAGTTTGTTTCTCAGTATGGACGATAGTATTTAATTCCTTAATTCAACCCAATGGATTTTGTTAAAATTTCTGCTGAGAGAAGGGGTTTACTCTTCCTTAAGATCAGATTTGCTAAGGAAGATTTTAAGAAATTACTATTTTTCCAATTTTACTGTAATGGTTAATTTTCTTTTTTTTTTTTTGCGACCGGTAAGGGGATTGCAACCCTTGGTGTGGTGTCGCCCGCACTGCGCTCAGCCAGTGAGCGCACCGGCCATCCCTATATAGGATCCAACCCCCTGGCGGGAGTGCCAGTGCGCTCCCAGCGCCGCACTCTCCCGAGTGCGCCACGGGGGTGGCCCTAATGGTTAATTTTCTTTTTTTTTTTTTTGCGACCGGTAAGGGGATTGCAACCCTTGGTGTGGTGTCGCCCGCACTGCGCTCAGCCAGTGAGCGCACCGGCCATCCCTATATAGGATCCAACCCCCTGGCGGGAGTGCCAGTGCGCTCCCAGCGCCGCACTCTCCCGAGTGCGCCACGGGGTTGGCCCTAATGGTTAATTTTCTTGTAATTTAGTCCTATTAAGTTTTCACTTTTAAAATTAAAGCTGTGCTTAAAATCTTTTACATCTTAATGATTCAATATTGAAAGTAAACTTTGAGATGTTTTATTTGGTACATAAAAATGTCTCTATCTAACTATCTGCCTATCTGTCTAATTTTCCATGTGTCTCGAGATCCTTCTACATAATATTAATCAATTTACTTCATGGATATCTACTTAAGTTGGAGTCATACTTGCATAAATACCTTTTAAAATGTTTTAGTTGTGTGCACAAAAATACAAATGTATGTGTGGTATTTCTTTTTTTCAATTCAAATTTCCATGGGGAAGATGAATTTGTAAGAGGATGGCACCCATATGACACATGATATGAGAGAACCTTGACTAATTTCCAGCAACATTGGACATATCCTTTTTAACTTTTAAAAAGGGATCAATTATGTGATTAATAGCAACTAAATAAATGGATACTTTGCTTATAAAGCTCTTTTAATTGTATCTCTAAATGTGTGTATAAATTTCATTACACTTAAAAAGCACACTGGAGATGCATTTACACACCAAATTATAGGCACATCAGTAGGAATAAAAAAGTAACCAAATTTATGACACTAATTTAATTTTCAGCTTATGGGTCTTGAATATTTCTGTTATTTACAGAAAGATAATTAGAGATACAGTTTCTGCTTGAGATTCTAATTGTGTAAAATACACAAATGGACCATTTTTTTCTTGAATTATAGAAATAAATGTATACATTGTTCAGTTTAATACAGTGAAAGCACATTCATGAAAACATGATCTGTGAGAAAGATATCTTGTATTTCTTTTTTTTTTTTTTTCCTTTTTGTCTTTTTTACTGACCGGTAACGGGATCGCAACCCTCAGTGTCGTGCCCGTACTGGAGACCGGCAACGGGATTGCAACCCTCGGTGTTGCGCCCGCACCGCGCTCAGCCAGTGAGCGGGAACCAGTCTCCACATGGGATCCGAACCCTCGGCGGGAGCGCCGCCACACTCCCAAGTGGTGCACTCTCCAGTGCGCCACCGGGCCGGCCCAATATATCTTGTATTTCTAAAGCAGTATATAAAGCAAATCACTGTGCTACAGCTTATGAATTACTTGGAATTAGGGACAGCTAAAAATATATAAATACGTGCACACACGCACATACACACACAGATACGTTAACATATAGTTCCCCAAATCTCCCAAAATCTTTGGGAATGACGTTTTTCCTATCTTGGACTTAATGCTCACCAAACAACTTTCTCTCTTTCTTTTTTTGTCTCCCCCTCCCCTTTTCTTTCTGTGTTTCTTTTTCTGTCCTTCTCAGCTTCTTTCTCTGTCTCTCTTTCTTTCTGAAGCAGTTAGCTTTGAGCCTTACCTATGGTTATATGTTTAAGGTTCTTCATTCCTTTAAATGAGGAGCACTAATAATCTTCCTGGATAAAGACAATGATATTGGTATAACTGTACTTTCTATAGGCCAAATGAAGTTAAGCTACATTGACACAGTAGGCTTACCAGGAACTCCATGTATGCCAATGGGATGGTGTTATATATACATAATTATAAGTAGAAGTCTAAGTAAGATGACTTAACTGAGAGTTACCTAGGAAGTGAGTAAGAGTTTGTAAAATGAGATCTGGTTGTGTCTTGGTTTTCATACAGAGAGGAGAGAGTTATACGACGTCATATTCCTCTGGAGTTTGTCTTATTCCTTTGTTAGAAATTTCTGATGAATAGAGCCAGACAGAACTTTGACTACTTTTTATGCCAACTTTTTTCCTCATCAGTTTATGCTCAAAGCTCTATCAGATCTGCCTATGACAGACCATAAAAGCCAGAACATTTTGATGTAACCTTGCACAAGGTTGTAGCTTTCATGGTCTTTTATAAATGGGACCCTGAGTCCAAGAGGCAAGTTCTAATAGGCAGGCTGCAAACAATGTTGCTTTTTATTAAATAATACAGAAATTTAAAAAATATATCAGAAGACAAACAGCACTTAAAATGTATTTTCAGTTTTTTAAAAATAATATTAAACTGTTATTTCTATAGGACTTTATAGCTAATAAATACCTTTTAATGCATTATTATACTTATTTATTTATTTATGAAAAAATAAATTCGATTAGTATATGAAACCTCAATGACTTATTGTAAAGTCAATGAATATTCACAACAAAAAAGCTCAATACAGGACAAAGTTAGATTTTTAAGGGGATGGTAGGAAGATAAGTTTCTTTTAGTTTAAAATTGTTTTCATTGCTACTTCTTGTGCTTGATTTCAGAGACAGTCAAGAAAAATATTTTTATAAATGGTTATGTAAAGAAAGAATAAGATCCTTCACAGCCCTGGCACTCTACTGATGTAAGACACTCTCATCCATTGGCAGATCACGTAGCCCCAAAAGGGCATGGGAAGGAAGGTGGAGCTGTTCAACATGGGATCGAATGGGTTTCTAGACACCGTTGTCAAAAGGCCAATCCTGTGTCCTTCCGACGGGCTTCCAAGCCTTTCAAGCATTAAGGCTTCTTAACAAACACCTGCTAGTGCTTCTTGCCTGTCATTATAATCCCTTGTATTCTATACACTGTCAGGACAGAAACGTTCACATGGGAGTGGAGAATGGGTCATTGTTACAACTGTTCATCTTCCATTTATCCCAGAAAACTAGCAGTTTGCTTATGAAGAAGGTCCTTTCTAGGGTTTGTGAGTTGTAGCTTAACTTCTCTTCACAAATAATTAATTTGCTCTTTTCTTCTCTCACTATTCGGCCTCCTTTTTCTTGGGTTTTCCAATTTTATAATGTATTCTCCTCTACTTTGCTCTAATTTTAGGATTATTTTCACTTCTTTTTTCTAAGATGCTTAACTCTTCTGTTATAGTCACTGGTTTTATCTGCATTATCCCTTAATTTAGTTTTTCTAATTTCATAGCCTTTTTGCTTATATCTACTTAGTACTTAGATGAACAATCAACCCTCATATTTTCTCTGTTAAGTCTTCCTTAAGTATATCAAATAATGTGGTAAAATTAAGAAAAATATAAAGCAAATTGATATCTAAAAATGAAGGGGCTTTTGAGGATTAGAATCTTTTTTTTTTTTTTTTTTCCTTTTTTTTGTCTTTTTTCGTGTCTGGCAACGGACCGCAACCCTCAGTGTCGCGCCCGCACCGGACCGGGACCGGCAACGGGACCGCAACCCTCGGTGCTGCACCTGCCCCTCGCTCAGCCAGTGAGCGGGAACCGGTCTGTATGTGGGATCCGAACCCTCGGCGGGAGCGCCACTGCACTTCCCAAGCGGCGCACTGTAGCAGTGCGCCACCGGGCTGGCCCAGAATCTTTTGTTATGTAAAAGTGTATGTGTGTTCACAATTTGTGTTCACAAA